GACTAGTTATTAATCGTTTTCTAAACGACATCAAAAAGGAAAAGTTTCTCAATTAGACAACCTTTTTATGTTTGTCGCGATATCTTTGCCATTTTTGCCATCTTTGCCATTTTTTTCAATTATTGTTTTTTTATTTATTTTTGTCTAAAGTGCATTAAAAACGGTTAATAATTATTAATATTTAGTGATTATTATAACGGTTAATAATATAACGGGTAATAGTCATTTAAAATTAGTACTTTTAGAACCTTATTTTTCATTTATATGGATATTTTTATTTTTATAAATAATAAATGGCAGGTGTATTACTATTATAAGTCATAAAAATTATCTTAGCGTTTTAAGAGTTAAAACGTAACGGAAAAAAGTTTTAACTTCTCCTTAACTAATTAATCCTAATCTTATGTAGAATGTATTAGGTAATTTCTCAGGTATTTTTGCCATCTTTGGCATTTTTTTCAATTATTGTTTTTTATTTATTTTTGTCTAAAGTGCATTAAAAACGGTTAATAATTATTAATATTTAGTGATTATTATAACGGTTAATAATATAACGGGTAACAGTTATTTAAAATTAGTACTTTTAGAACCTTATTTTTCATTTATATGGATATTTTTATTTTTATAAATAATAAATGGCAGGTGTATTACTATTATAAGTCATAAAAATTATCTTAGCGTTTTAAGAGTTCTGACGTAAATGGCGTAAATATCTTTAATTACATTCGCAGTATCGTTTGTAGAAACAGGAGTTATGAAAACCTTAAGTTTCTGTGCGCACCATACGAGTATCAGATAGCTATACTGCAGTTGCGTCCTATTCGATATTAAAAAATTCTCAACATCGCAGAGACGGGGGCCGATCCGTGCTTCACCTAGATTCTCCCCCTGGGTGAAGCGCGGGGACTCTATATGGTTCTGTGCTCCAATTGATGATCAGTACAGTCAAGAAATGAAGATAAATACATTATTTATATAATCAGTAGGATTTATTTTAACGCATTATTTCCAAAAAAACCCCAAAGAAATTTCATTATTCATTATTGCATTTGCTAATCTAAAATGAAATGGTCTTTTTCACAGAGTTCTTTCTGCCTGTGTTTAGTTGAGGAAAGTCTAAAGAATCGGTATTTTTCGATATCACTGTTAGCAATTTATTTCAGGTAATATGGTTTTATGAACTCTTTATCGTGTTTGGAATTTTAACTCTTCATTATGTTATTTGTACTGTGCCTCTCATTAAAAAAAAGTTAATAAAAAAACTATATAAATTCTGTCTACTAATTAAATTTTTAGATTTTTTTAATCAAATAGGGAAAGCAATTTACTGCATCACTATACAATAACATCATCAGTTGGATCACGGGACCCTCTACAGTCCTCGTGCTTTGCCCGAACCTAGGTGAAGCACGGGCCATCCCAACACAGACCATGCTTCATAATTGTATAATTAACGGATTAAACGGATCTTTAATCTCGATTCGTATGAATCTACCGGATCTACCGTTAAATACTGATGATAAGACTATTAAGTTAAATAAGTACTTCGGTTTTCAGGGTTTCTTTTCTTTTGTTAATCCCTAAATGAATCCTACAGCAGAACCGGCTGTGACTGAAGAATTTGATTTAGAAAATTTTAAACCGACGTCAGATGATGACTTGACTGAGTATTCACGTGTGATTAAAAAAATAAGAACTTCGTACAAGTGGATTTCAGAAAGTGGACAACACTGTTAACGCTTATTGAGTTTGTTCTCAACTTTGATAGGCTTTTATACGCTTGATGTGTGGATTTCGTTTAAGTTGTTATCTCGGCTATAGCCAATAAAATGAGTGTTGAGAACCGAAAAGAACCACCATATGAAGATCACATGGTGGTTCTTTTCGGTTGTACCTTGTATCTATGTGTGTATTGTTTGAGAAATCAAAGCAATATACATATAGATAAGAAGTACATCTCTAGTATGTTAATTTTTTTACACACAATTTAATGAAAAATCTTATATTAATACATCTTTTCGCACCGTATAAAAGATGGGCCAAACGAAACCACATTGAATCTTAAATTAGCAATAGACGCCAGCATTCGTTTTTCCTTAGGTTAACTAACTATATTTAGGTAATCATTTCAAAACATTGTGTTGCCAGCATAAATGATTCGACATTTGGCACCTACAACTTAGACCGAGATGAAACCACGCTATTCAGTATAGTTTCACCACCCAATGACCATCAATTACTTACACAAGTATTGCCCAACCGTGCGCTAAAGTAGTGCGTGCCGCCAGTTTTTATCGGATCAAAATTGGCCGAATCTGTTTCCATTAATAATTTGTAATTGTTTCCTTATTGCAATATACGTAATATCTATCGGATGCATTCGGAGGCATTAAACTTGTTGTTTTCTAAATTGTTGTTATATTTTTATTCATAACGTCTTACTCTACGTAACACGGGTTTAACGAACGAGTTTTACTCAAGAATGGCGACTTTAATGCTGGATTGACTATAAGTAACTGGCCAACCCGAGTAACTTTGTTTTTATCTTCCAAAAGAAATAAATTTCCCCCGTTTTTGCAACATTTTTTCTTCAGCTTTTGCAGCTTCTATTGGTAGCGCCATCTAGCTATTATAAACACAAAAAAATAATTAAAAAAGTAGTTCCTAAGATTAGCGCGTCCAACCAAATTAATAAACAATATTTTCAGCTTTATAACATTGGTATACGAGGGGTGATCAATAAGTAATGGTAATCGAGTATTTCTAGAACGCACAAAAACCCAAATTTTTTTTTTTCTGCTTGCTTATATATCCACTACTTCAGCTTCAAAAAAATGTATAAATAGGACACCATTAGCGGGAGATACATTCATTTGAATACGAACTGTCGAAGAGAAAACATCAAAATGGAGAAAAATGAAATAAGAGCTGTCATCAAGTACCTCTGCCTGAAAAAAATGTCTACCAAAGACATACACAGCGACTTAGAGGAAACATTGGGGGAGTCTGCTCCTCCATATTCCACAGTCGCACGCTGGGCAAAGGAATTTAAGCTGGGCAGAACCTCCACTGAAGATGAACATCGCGAGGGACGCCCTTCCACGTCCCTTACTGGAGAAAACGTCAAAAAAGTGGAAGATATCGTGTTGGCCGATCGAAGGGTGACCGTAAGGCATGTAGCTGAGGTCACAGGGATCTCCTATGGCAGCGTTCAAAAAATCATTGTCAACAAAATGCATATGAAAAAGGTCTCTGCGCGTTGGGTACCGAGAATGTTAACCGAGGAGCCAAAAAAGAGACGAGTCGATATTTCGAGGGTGAATCTTCAAAAGTTCCAGGCCGATAAAGAATTTTTTTTGTCGGGTTTCTGACCATGGACGAGACCTGGATCCACCACTTTGATCCCGAAAACAAACAACAATCAATGACTTGGAAACGAGCTTCCTCACCAACGCCGAAGAAATTCAAAGTGTCAAGTTCAGCGGGAACGGTTATGGCGTCTGTTTTCTGGGATGCAGAAGGAATTATTATGGTGGAATATTTGGAAAAGGGGGCCACTATAACAGGCTCTTACTACGCAGGCCAAATAAGAAGATTGCGAGAAGCTATTAAGTCAAAAAGACGCGGTAAACTGCGCGCTGGAGTGCTGTTTCACCAAGACAACGCCCCGGCTCACAAAGCCGCAGTTGCGATGGCTGCCATTGAAGAAACGGGGTTCGAACTGCTCGAACACCCTCCCTATTCGCCAGATCTAGCTCCCAGTGACTTGTACCTCTTTCCTCGGCTCAAAGAACACCTCCGGGGCAACAAATTTGAGGACAATAGTGAAGTGATGGCCGCAGTAGAGGCATTTTGGGAGGGTCAAGACAAAGAATTTTTTTCTCAGGGAATCATGGGCTTAGAAAAAAGATACACTAAATGTATTAACTTGCAAGGAGACTATGTTGAAAAATAAAATACTTTTTTTAATCTAATAGTTCTGTTTCATATTGATTATCATTACTTATTGATCACCCCTCGTAGATATCTCTACTTGGTATATATGTACATAAAATTTCTACTCTTGTATATTACAAGATTAAAATCTAGTGCTTGTCGATTCGTATGGATCAGAATATTACTTATACAAAATAAAGTCACTTATTGAGCACGTTGTCTTATAGATTATATTGGTTACATAATAGTTATTCAGTTAAGTAACTACCACTAGTGTTGAAGGAGCTAACTAGAATGCCAATAAATGGGTGACTCAGGGATCAAGTTACTAATATAGTAGCCTCTTAACTTACAAAAATAGACGAACGAGACGACGAATAGGAAAGTTCTATGACGCATAAATGTAAATAGTTCTTAACGAAATGAAAAGAAATTATGCTGCAATATGTTTTTTCTCCCGACAGTATTTTTTCCTTCTTATTTTAGACATGTTAAAATTTTGAATTTATTTAGGTTTAAGGTTAAGATTTAGGTGATACAGATATTTAAACGAAAAATAATAAATGTTTAAATGAACTTTTGTGATAGAGTAGAAAAACAACCAAAGTACATTTATACTCCTACTTGTCGTACCTATGCTAATGCTATAATTTAATAATCCTCAGTAAATATACTTTATTTATTTCTTATAAAAATATTACAGCCCCACAAAAAAATGTTACAGCCGAAAAATTAGTACTGATGTATTTAAAGTATAAAAAATAGTAGTCGATGGGCACTAAATAAAACAGTTTTTTATAATTGCGCAACTGGTTGTGCCGTGGCGCAGGATGTTCGAAGGGCATAAACGACCGCACAACAACTTTAAAAAAAATAGAAAACTGCCCAACTGGTTGTGCCATGTAGAAGGATGTTCGATTGGCATACCCGACCGCACAACTACTTTTTATTTAAACAGAAAACTACACAACCGGTTGTGCCGTGGGGAAGGATGTTCGATTGGCATTCCCATAAAATATCGCTAATAATTTCCATTTATTAAAAGCACATTTATTTCATTCCAGGATTTGAAATCAACATAAATATGGAGAGTTGGTTAGACGACGTAAAACGGGTAAGGATTCCTCGTCCGAAATTTGGCACCAAATACCCTGTTGAGCCACCAAAAGATTACTTGGAGGATTGCGGGGGAGAGCTTGGCAAGCAACGCCGTCATGATAAAGACCTCACCAAGGCGACAGAGGAACTACGTCGAGCACTTCAGGAGAAACTATGACCTCTCAACATGGCATTAGGTCTAATTTAGCTTTAAACGTAACCAATAGCATATCCCGTACACGCCCGTCTGAGTAGTTACATTAGCAATTCGACGGAATCGTTGGGAACAAATGAATATGGTTTTCTGTAATGCGACATACTGTCATTTATTTCGTTAGTGTAATTCGAGTTGGTTTGATAAAGGTTCTGAGTTTCATACATTTTATAAGATTACAATGGATAACATTGTCACAAAAAAAATACATAATATTGTAATTTATTAAAATTTAAAAACTGTGTCATGATCATGACATCACGCAAAATAAAAAGTAAGTGGTGACAATTTGAATGTCATATGCTAAAATGATTCAATGATATTTTAACTATTTGTTAAGGTTATTACACAACAAGAAGAAGGTCCGTTGCTCTCAACGGTTATAAAAAAATTATATGTTGTCAGTATTAATTTCCATACTTGCTGTTTCTTATAAAAAGAGTACCTAATACTTAAAGACTTCACGAACAAAAAATATGTTTTACTATAAAATGTCTTGCAGACTGTATAAATTACGGAACCGGTTGTTAGTTATATATATATATTAGACATAGTACCTACATTAGACTGAAGATAATTTAGAATAAGTTGAAACTCTGTAAGTATAAAATACTTTAATAAATAAATATAGAAATCGTTAAACCTTGTTTTAAATATATATTAGGGTGTAGGAACTAAAAGAATTGTATAGTAGGCCAAAACCTCCTTTCTAAGGAGAGGCCTATGTCCAGCAGTGGACTAGTATAGGCTGTTGATGATGATGATGATAAAGTATCTTTAGGTATAATAAAAGATAATAGTTTAATACACTTTGAACATATATGAGGGAATATTGTTAAAGTGTGTCAGTCATATTTCATCCAATGTTTAGATTGACTCGTGTGATCAAGATGGCTGTGGCAGAGAGCTGGCTCTAAGCCAAAATATTCACTTACAAATGAGTCTGTGTACCCTACTGTTCTGTACATCCTTCCATCCATCCAAAAGTATATTTAATTATGGTTGCTCTTAATTACCTAATGATGTATTAATTTAGTGCTGGCTTGTTTTGAATATCTTGACTCGTTTCATTGACCATAACTTGAATTGTGATTGTATAGACCGCTGTACCAAAAATATTGTTTAAAAATTTTGACTTTCGATGTATAAACAATAACCTCCTCTTTTGTGTTTTTGAAGTAGGTTAAAAAGTTAAAAATATTAGTATTGTATATAAAGCAATGCGCCCCTCCTTGAAACCTCACTTATAAAGAATACCTGAGGTAAGGATGACAATTGGTTTAGATGATATCAATCGTCACTTCTCATCCACTTCTCATATGGATCATCAAACCAAGAGTCAAACCTCGAACTATATTGGAGGTCTAACCCGACCCAACATTGAATCCTTTGACTATTCTCCGGCATCTGCCGGGGATGTCAAGAAGATCAACCTGTCTATCCATTTCAACGCTACGGGTTGTGACGGCATTAGCCGTCGGATGATTTTTACTATCCTAGATCAAATTCTTCCTGTCCATATTATTAACTTTTCGCTCGTCTCCGGAACTTCCCTTTTCTCCCCCAACCTGGCGTAAGGCCTTCATAATCACTCTGCCCAAAAAAAATAACCCCTCTCTTCCTGAACACTATCGACCAATTTCTGTACTCCCGTTTCTCTCAAAAGTGTTCGAGGCTTGTGTACATAAACTGCTGTCGCACACAGCCCTTCACAATCCGGATTTAGACGAGGTCACAGCACAATTACCGTCCTCCTCAAAGTGACTGGCAATATTAGGGAGGATATGGAGGACACCAAGGTCACAGTTCTGACTTTGATTGACTTCTCGAATGCCTTTAATACCGTCAATCATTGTGTCCTGCTATCCATCCTTTCCTATCTCATGATCTCCCCGGAAGAACTGGAATGGTTTTCCTCCTATCTTCAGGGACGACAACAGTGTTTTCATATTGACGACTTGTCATCGACTTGGTGTGATCTTTTCACTGGCGTCCCTCAAGGCTGCATATCGCAACTCAACACCTTTAGTGTACGTATCACCTGTATGCAGATGACTTGCGAAAAGCCCAATTGAGAGTTGAAGACATATCACACGCAATAGATAAAGTCAACAAAGACTTGGACTTCATAAGGTGCTGGTCGACGAGGTTTGGTTTGTCGATTAACCCAACCAAATGTTAAGTGATCGTCATAGAAAGCAAACAGATGTTAAGTAGGTTGGATATGACGGCTATCCCATCAGTTGTCTTTGCGTCTAGTGGTTAAGAACTTAGGGTTACATATCGATTCGACACTTGACTGGAAGGCACAAGATGCAAGAAGCCAGAAAGTCACTACATGTCTTCGCGCTTTATATCCTCTCAAGAATTCTTGCCCACTAAAACTATAAACCTCACTAAAAGGCTACGCTTATGCAGTCATTAATTATTCCCTTAATCGATTATGGTGATATGTGTGATTTTTACCTGAATGCAGTCCTTCTCAATAAGCTAGACAGACTTCTCAATAACTGCATTCGATTTGTTTTTTATCTTCGCAAGTATGACCATGTGTCTACTTTACGTTCCCAACTGAAATGGCTCCGAATTCTTCAGCGCCGCAGTCTGCGTGCACTAACATATCTTTTTTAATTTCTCATTCCCCATCGTTAGATGATTACCTGGTTCCCCATCTCTGTTTCTTATGCTCCAATCATGACCGAAATCTTCGGTCAGCAAATAATATGCTTCTTCAATGTATGTTGCTCGCACTTCCAACTTCATTGATGAAGTTGGAAGTGCGAGATCTTCCTTCTATGCACAGTCAGTTCTTCTCTGGAATGCACTCCCAGTTGAAATCAGGATGTCCACTAACCGCTTTACGTTCAAGAAAATAGTACAAAATCTTCTCCAAAATGAGTTGGCAGAAAGGTTACAACGCTAGTACCCCATTATTTTGATATGTATATGTTTATGTATGTGTATGTATTGAACGTGTAAACTTGGGTCCTTTATGGTTATATATGTAGTACTGTATATGTTTGTTTATTTATGTATATTATATCTAAGTTAGGGTTACATTAAATTAATAAATTTAATATAAATCAATCAAATTTCTTGTTCTCTCTTGCCACTACCGCGTCATTTTTCTACATCACCCGGTCGACTGGCAGAGAATGCCTTGGGCATTAAGTCTGCCTGTGTACAACTTGTACATTAAGTTTTTATAAATAAATAAATAAGTGACTACTGATCTAAATATAGATTGTTGTGACTCTCATATTTTTATTTTTTTTTGTCCACAGACTAACATTCTATTGGTGATTCGACTAAATTTTAGTAAGCCCCAGTTTAAAACATAGTGTAAACGGTGACTTCTCGGTAATATAGATAAATATAGATCCACAGTATCCGCAGTAACCACAGTAGCCTAAAAGGAATAATGATAAGTGCGATTCTAAAAACTTACATTATCATAATTCTATCTTTTTATTATAACATTGTAAATCTGTAGTTTGTTTGTTTACGATGAACGTGAGATTAGCGTGCTCAACACGTTAAGTTTCGGTTCCACGAGTCTGGTTTATAAAATTCTTTATGTATAATGATCTCTTTAATGGAAAAGCTTATGTATGTATAACATCACGTTATAACCTATAAGACCGCAATAATGACAGGTAATAATTGTATACTGAACAACAGGTAAAAAGTAATGAAACACTGCTGCTATTGTATTAGAATAGTGAACGTGAGAAAAGACGTTTGAATGGTCATCATTCAATCACACTCTAACCACTGATAAGCGTTTGGGCTTACTAAATTTAGGCACACAGTTAATTTTTGTATTCTGGATTAATAACATAAGCATCTAAAAATCACTATCCTCGTATAAAGATCTAGAATGCAAAATTTGTGATAGGAATTTATATTCCTAATACAAATTTTGAGCCGTCGATCTGTAAAGTAACTAACATCTATAACAGATATTAGTTACCTACCTTAAGTGCATTTCCTCAATTGGAATCATATTTTTTATTGTCTAATCATAACAAATCTAAGATTAAGGTTGGATTAAAAAAAATACCCTCGATTATGTTAAATATTCCATTTTTTACCTAACTCTTAGGCACACTTCCAATTGGAATCATGTAGCGTCAAGTCTGCTTAAGAGTTGACTTAAATAAAAAATGCGATTATTGTGGAACAGAACATGACCTTAATAATTATACTTTTAAAATTATTTTTTGACAGCCTATGTGGCGTCATTGGTGATCTCCACCTCAGTGGAAATATATTTGATTACGCATTGTGTTATATTATCTAGAAGATTTAATAATAATTTAATAATATAAAATTCATAGCACAAGATATGCTTAGTTTAGATATAGAATTATATAGATAACGCTGGGTAATACGTCCTAAAATATTATTATTAGTAGGTATTATGTTCGCTTTCGGTACGTAAAGAATGTCTGTATAGAAATAACATACCAACTTATGTAGGTAGAAAAAATATTATTATAAAATATTTTCACATACGAAAGAAGAACATATGAATATAATATTAGTATAACTTACAGTATCATCGTAGTGTTGCGTATGTAACGCAGTGGTGCTGCCCTCTCGCGAGTTACAGGGGGAAGAGTGACGTCGTGACCGTCGTCCTTCTTCGTCGTACTCCTGCACACATACGTATTTATCCTTTACATATAAAAGAAAACGATTATTTACAACTTATAGAAATAATTAATTTAATAATTTGTAAGTCATACAAATAACACTTTGGGCACACAGTCACAGGTAAAAACATGCTCCACACTTTACACGCAAGAAAGAAATAGACAAGCATAAAAAATATACATAAAACGAACTATATGTCGCGCACGACAAGGTTTCACCGTACTATGTCTAGACTACAAAAAAACTTATGTAAAAAGTTTTTATGAGGCATAAAGTCGCTAAATAGTAGGGCACAAGAGTAAAAG